CCACGCCCACTCGCGTTCTCCGCCGGCGGGAAGCCCCACCCAGTTCTCCCGCCCCGTCCAATCACGACGTGTGTCGGGCTTGGCGCTGGAAGGTGCGGTCGGGGCTGGGGGCGCCAGTCGCCTCGCCCGCGCTTCGCCCAGTCTGCGCGCCCCCTGCTGGCGGAATGAAAGGAAGGCGGCCTTTTTTTTTTTTTGAGGGGGTCTCACTCTGTCGCCCAGGCTGGACGGCAGTGGCACGCTCACGGCCACCGCAGGCTCGACTTGCTGGGCTCGGTGACCCTTCCGCCTCAGCCTTCCAAGTAGCTGGAATTACAGGCGCGCGCCACCACACCTGGCTAACTTTTTTATTTTTTGTAGAGACAAGCTCTTGCCAAGTTGCCCAGGCTGGTCCCGAACCCATGGGCTCAGGCAGTCCTCTCTCCTTGGCCTCCCAAAGCGCTGGGATGACAGGCTTGAGCCACCGCGCCCGGCCTGGAAGGCGGCCTTTGAAACCAGGCTGACCTGGGCTGGCCGACTCTGAACCTTAGTTTTCTCCTCGGAGAAATGGGACGATAATGCCCGTCTCTGAGGGCCGCCGCGAGGTCGGTGTCGTAGGCGCAACCCCTGGGGCTCCAGAATTTCTAATTCGTGGGACTCGAGGGGGAAGAAGTCAAGATGGGGAGGGTTGAGGGGGACAGGGGCGCGTTAAGTTAGATTTACAGAACACTGTACCGAAGGCAGAAGTGACCGGAGCAGATGGAGCTGGAGAAGCCCTTGGCTCCGCCAAGTACCTGACCCCGGGCCCTGGGTAAGGTAGCAGCGGCACACCGTAGGCATGCCCTGCGCCCCGCTCCACCCCACTCCAGGGCGGTGTCCTTAGAACCCCCACGTTGCCCCTCGCAGGCCAGGAGGAAGACTAAGCACATGTGAGCGGTGGGTGTGGGCACAAGCGTCACCCTCCACCTGCTTGGTGGTGTGGTTCCCACAGCTCCTCCTAGGACACAGTTGCTGTGGCTCTCCCCTCTCCACATGAGCGTTCTCCTCCTTCAAGATGTCTCTCTTGAGGCCTAGCGCGGTGGCTCAAGCCTGTAATCCCGCGCTTTGGGAGGCCAAGGTGAGAGGATTGCCTGAGCCCACGGGTCCGAGACCCACCTGGGCAACTTGGCAAGACCTCATTTCTACAATCAATCGAAAAATTAGCCGGGCGTGGTAGCGCATGCCTGCGGTTCCAGCTACTTGGAGGGCTGAGGCGGAAGGATTGCCTGAGCCCAGCAGG